AGTTGCGTATAACACCCAGTGCTCATAACATCATGGGCCCTCCTTAATGCCCATCACCCAGTTACTATATACATATATCTTTTTAAAGATTTTATTTATCTGAGAGAAAGAGTATGAGAGAGTACATGAGTCGGTGCAGAGGGATAAGAGGGAGAAGCAGGTTCTCCACTAAGCAGGGAGCCCAATGTCAGGACCTCAGGACCATGACCTGAGCCAAAAGCAGATGCTGAACAAACTGACCCACCCAGGCACCCAAATATATACATTTTTTTTTAAAGATTTTATTTATTTATGAGAGAGAGAGAGAGAGAGCGAGCACAGGCAGACAGAATGGCAGGCAGAGGCAGAGGGAGAAGCAGGCTCCCTGCAGAGCAAGGAGCCCGATGTGGGACTCGATCCCAGGACGCTGGGATCATGACCTGAGCCGAAGGCAGCTGCTTAACCAACTGAGCCACCCAGGCGTCCCTATATACATTTTTTAATTTAGAAAAAGTACCAATGGGGCACCAGTGGGTTAAGCCTCTGCTTCCGTCGGCTCAGGTCATGATCTCGGGGTCCTGGGATGAACTCAGGGTCCTGGGGTCAAGTCCCGCATTGGGCTCTCTGCTCAGCAGGGAGCCTGCTTTCCCCTCCCTCTCTGCCTGCCTCTCTGCCTTCTTGTGATCTCTCTCTCTGTCAAATAAATAAATAAAATCTTTAAAAAAAAAAAAGAAAGAAAGAAAGAAAAAGTACCAACCAGCTCTGGAGTTTGAGGACATAACAGAAGAAAACAATCACCCTCAAATTTATTAAAAGAACCTTCTCTGTCAAATAAATAAATTAAATCTTATTAAAAAAAAACAAAACCTTCAAACATCTAACATACAACAATGTTGGTACGAACTTAAGGGACTGACTACAAAGGACCAGGTTAACACCCACAATATGGCCTGCTTGTTTTATAAAGTATAAGATATGCAGAAAGGGGAAGGGGGAAAAAAAAAACCAACCAACCCTAAGAATCCCTAGGAAGGCAAAGAAACCATTGTGCTGGAGATTTGGAGACAGGAAATTACAGAGTTGTACATTCTCCCACACATAATACCTAAGGGCTGAAACCTGCTTAAAACTCTTAAGACACAACTTTTGAAGTGCTTCTCTCTGGGGATTCTGATCCTAAAGATTTCAAAAATCCAGGAAAAAAGAGTAAGACCTAATAAAATAATAACTATCTAGACCTACCCTAATACATAGGGAAGAAGGAAACTAATTTTCAGTAGCTAATTAATTGTTCCTTTAATAAGGTTTTCTTCCCCCCCAAAAAACCCCGCTGTATTAGCTATATGGAGAATATCTGATCTCAGTTCCCTACAATTAAATTCAAATTTTACATATTTATTTATTTATTTATTTATTTTTTGAAAGAGTGAGGGAGGGGCAGAGGGAGAGGGAGAGAATCTTAAGCAGGCTCCATGCTCAGTACAGAGCCCCCCCCCCTTTGTGGGGCTCAATCTCACAACCCTGAGATCATGACCTAAGCGGAAAAAAATCAAGAGTCAGAACCTTAACCAGCTGAGCCACCCAGGAGCTCCTAGAAGTCAAATTTTAATCCCCATTTAGTACAACTAATCAATGGTACGTTTTCCTTCCATTATTTTAAGTGAAGATTACTTTTACGGTATTAATTTCTAAAAACCAAAAGGTAGAATAATCATGAGTCCACTGTCAGGCACTTTAAACGCAGCATCAAAATTTTCACCTGGGCCGCTATTGTTAGGAGTTAGTTGGACAGTTAGGTGGTCAGGGTCCCCAGAAAGAAGATAGAGAGTCAGGACGGCTAAGATCAAGTAGCACTGACATCCTGGTTCTGCAGCTTAGACAGGACAGCACTGACATCCCATTTTGCAGCCTCTGCAAAACGACCCAAAATAAGATAATTAACCACAAAGCACTGGTCAGTATCACGGGCAAGGGACCGTGAAGACATAAGCCTCCAGATTCAGTAAGAGAAAAAGACCATCAACACAAAAACATTAACCTAATAGATAGACAAATACGTGGCCCAAGCCCTGACTGGCACCACTCAGCACACCCTGATTACTTAAGAAGGTTCCGTAAAAGAGGTCATAAAAACCCCTAAATTTAGGACTTCCAGAGGCAACCCACCTGGGCCCCCCCACCCTCTCTGGGAACTTTACACTCTTGCTCAATAACCTTTGCTTTGCCGCCCACCAGTATTTGTCTGGTCTACCTCTTCATTCTTGAAAGCAGCATGGCCAAGAACCATGGGCATTAAGGGGACACAAATCCTCTAACACATGTTATCAGAGGGACAGAGGTGCTGGCTGAGCAGAATGGAGCAAAAGAACACAGAAAGAAGAGTTCTGGAAGTAAATGGAAGAAACAAGGAAGAGGGTCAGCAAAGCAAACTTGGGCAGGGTGAGGGGAGAACGGATGGAAAAGCAAACTACCTGTGGCTAAAATCACCTCCAAATAACTTATTTCAAATAGCATTTCTTAGCCACGTCAACTGGGGAAACTAAGGGAAGAGGAGAAGAGATGAGAAAGCAGCTGGTGGCACATGCAACTCTTGATCTCACCATTTGTGGGTCTGAGCCCACACTGGGTGTAGAGAATACTTAAAAATAAAATCCTTAAAAAATAAAATGATTAAATTAAAAAAAAAAAGTAAAGTCCTTTCTGCTTTATGGAAGTATCACTTCCATAAATTGTTATGGCTATCTTTTGCCCAATTATCAAAAGCACCTAGAACTGATTAAAACCTTAGGACAGTAAAATCAGATGAGAGACCAAAGTTCACTAGAACACTATTACTACCAGCATTAGTCAGTCTCTCTCGAGTTAGTTGTTTTTTTTCCCCCCAGGCTCTCTAAACCTTGAGTAAACAAATCCAACAGCCAGTGAAAACTGACACACCCAAAAACTCCCAGCGAAACATTTACTTCATAGTTCACAATAGACGGCCCTATTCCATCTACAGGTGGCCTTGCCTAGAGCTAAAGGTCGAAAGAAAACACTCCCCTACACCTTCACACTTTATGGGGGAAAAAGGGGGGAGGAAAAAGAAACCACGCAGGCCTCAAGGCAAGGCCAGGAACACAGGAACTCTCCTCTCAGTGGCGTATACATGCCACACCTTCTGATGTTCCTAAAACTGTTTCCTTTTGGCTCCTTAATTAACTAGAGGAAAATCTCATCTACAGTTCTAGATTTCTTAAAATCAGACATACATAGGGATGCCTGGATGGCTCAGTCAGTTGGGCGTCTGCCTTCAGCTCAGGTTATGATCCCAGGATTGAGCCCCGCATCAGGATCCCCGCTCAGCGGGACGTCTGCTTCTCCCTCTGCCTGCCACTCCCCCTGATGGTTCTCTCTCTCTCTCTCACACACAAATACAGAAATAAAATCTTAAAAAAAAAAAAAAAATCAGACATACAGAATGCCAGAGCTAAAGAAGTCTTCAAGATAAGCAATGTCTTTATCCCTGACCTGACCAGCAGTCCCCGCCCTTAGCGCTTTTCCCTTCACTCCCACTGGCCAGAACAAACCTCCCCTGGAGGCCCTGTCCAGGCTTCTCAGCTAACCCTCATGGCAGGAAGTCAGTCTGCTCAAAAAAACCTATGATTGCAGTTTCTGAGGATGCCTCCAACTGCTTCATAACGGGGTTTCTGAGAAATAAAGTCTCACTCCAGACATCTCTGAGGACATGTTAGGTATCAGTAATATATACTTCCAAGGTATTTTCGGAAAGAGGAAATTGCTGAGCTTTCAGCAAATCACATCTACACATACTGGTAGAAATAACAATACGGCATATATAAAAAAGGGAATTGCTCTGATCTCTCTCTGCCTCATTGACATATTTCGTAAGTATCCATGCAGAATTAGTCACTATAGGGGCACCTGGGTGGCTCAGTGGGTTAAAGCCTCTGCCTTCGGCTCAGCTCATGATCCCAGGGTTGTGGGATCGAGCCCCACATCGGGCTCTCTGCCTGGCAGGGAGCCTGCTTCCTCCTCTCTCTCTGCCTGCCTCTCTGCCTACTTGTGATCTCTGTCAAATAAATAAATAAAATCTTTAAAAAAAAAAAAAAAGAATTAGTCACTGTAATTTGCTAGGCTGTTACGTAAACACTTTGTACATAGCACCTGCCACAACTCCAAAACACCCCTCTTGACCCAAGACAGCAAGCACCCTAAGTAGCAGTGCCCCCCTCCAAAATGATAACCAGGAATATAGAGGAGGAGGAATGGTTCTGTTTTGCAAAGACCAAGTTCTTTCTGCATGATTCCTTTAGAAGCCATTTCTTTTCAATGCCTAGATACACTTCTTGCAAATGGAAATCTGAGGGGTGCCTGGATGGCTCAGTTAGCTAAATGCCTCTTTTTTTTTTTTTTTTTTTTAAGATTTTACTTATTTATTTGAGAGACAGAGAGAGAAAGCGCAAGTGAAAGGAGGAGCAGAGGAGGAGGGAAAAGCAGACTCCAGGCTGCTTGGAGCCTGATGCAGAGCTGAATCCCACAATCCTGAGATTGGACCTGAGCAAGAAACAAGAGTCAGACACTTAACGGACTGAGCCACCCAGGTGCCCCAGTGTCTGACTCTTGATTTGACTCAGGTCATGATCTCAGAGTCATGAGATCAAGCCCCATGTCGGGCTTGGTGCAGAGTCTGCTTGAGATTCTCCCTCTCCCTCTGCCCCTCTCCCTGCTTGTGAATGCACCCCCCACAAAATGAATGTATGAATGAATCAATCAATCAATCTAAAAAAGATCTGGTTTTCATTTTGCAGTAAAACAATTTCCACTTAACATAGCACCTTTTTTTTTTTTTTAAATCATAGCACCTTCTTAAATTCTGAGTAAAACATGATGGCACAACTCTTGCCACATATACAAACAGTAATTCTAAGAATACAGTTTCACAAAGCACTAAAGGTCAGGTTGAGACAGAAACCTGTTTAAAAAAAAAAAAAGCAAATGTCCGATATTTTAGCACTTACCCACTCTTCGACATTGGGGGGTTGTTCATCATAAATATGTTCCTTGTCCCACAAAATATTCGACTTGTCATACCGATCCATCTTTCCTCGGGTTTTCACAGCAAAGAAAATTATTAAAGCAAAAGCCACAATAACCATGAACCCCAGTACAATGGCAATTGCCTAAAAAGAGATTAAAGATATTGACAGTTAGATTTTAATTGTTTACTTTATCTGAATCCAGTAAAAACCCAAGGCCCCACACTACATATCTGTGCTTTAACAGATATAAAACTGAAACACTCACATTTCAGAAATATAAAATGTTGGCCCAGGCTAGGTGGGCTGAGGCTAACAACACACGCAGCTTGATTCAATACTCAGAAAAGGCTTCAAGTTAGGTACTATTATCATTCCATTTTAAGTGACAGAAATCTAGTTCCAAAGCTTGAGTGCCAAGTGACCTTATTTTTATTAACAGATGAAAATGGCCAGCAAATTAACTCAATCATCAGTATCCTTCTAAAGGGCTTGAAAATTGTGACTCTCAGAAATAGCTTTAGATACGTAAGCATGTTTATAATCTCGTTCATAACACATACTGAGCAAATGTTTTTACACTGAATGTAAATTCCAGTCCATAGAGGATCTACCTTACCATAAATTATGCAGACATGATTTAACCAAGCTATAAATTAGAGAAAATGGATGAGTGATTCATGTAGTCTAGCAGGTGGTTTCTGCTGGAAGTCTTTTGTGTACTTGCAAGAAAGGGGCCTGTGACAAGGAAACCCCCACCCCGACAGTTCTCCCAGTGTCTGATAAGTCTGTGAAGTGGTCCACTGGCCTGGAGACATTTGAAACTGAGGCAGGTACCAGGCCCCTGGCCTGGATTCTGCTCACTGTAACAGGGGGGTCTCTGTGCAGCTGTGATACCCTTTTTCAGTGAATACAGGTTTTGGGCACTCAAAGGACTAAGAGAGATGGGGTGTGGTAAGGCAGGAGTACCAACCCTCAGCCCTGTTTACCACAGGTAACATCTGAATGCCAACAACAAATCTGCTGAAATTCAGAGGGAAAACATTTCAGTCTTCAAAATAATGGCAGTTACTGGAGATAATCTAACCCCAAAGAAGTGACTCATTCAGGTAGAAGAGTAAGAATTCCTGATTCAGTTTAAGGAGGGGGGCAGGAAAAAAAAAAAACAGGGGAAAAAAAGATTAGAAATCCATCAAGAGAAAGATCAGCAACCTCATACCTATTAGCATGGATAGAATCAAAGAGACAAAACAATGCTGGTGAGAATGTGTAGAAAATAGAATCCTCACACATTTCTGGTAAATCTAAAACAGTCCAACCCGTGTGGAAGACAGTCTGGCAGCTCCTCAAAAGCTTAAGCACAGACACGCCGTAAGACCCAGCAATTCTATCCCTAGGCATACACCCAAGAGAAACTGAAACATGGGTTCACGCAAGGACTTGTCCACAAATGGTCAGAGCATTATTCATAACGGCCAAAACAGACATAGCCCAAATGCCCATCAACTGCTGAATGGATAAGTAAGATATGCTATGGCCATACAATGGAATATTATTCCACAATAAAAAAGAATTGATAGGACATGCATGAATCTTGAAAACATTAATGTGAAATGAAAGAAGCCAATCATGGGGGCACCTGGATGGCTTGGTTGGGGGGGAGCATGTGACTCTTGATCTTGGGGTTGTAAACTCGAGGACCACAATGGGAGCACAGATTACTTAAATAAAGCTTCAAAAAAGAAAGAAAGAAAGAAAGAAGCCAATCATAAAATACCACATATTGTGTGATTTTGTATTTATGAAATATCCAGAATAGGCAAATGTATAGAATAAGATTAGCGGTTGCCTAGATCTGGGAAGGGTTAGAGAAAAAGTTACCGCTAATACATATGGGGCTTTTGTTGGGGCTACTGAAAATGTTCTAAAACTGATGACGGTGATGGCTGCACAACTCTGAATATACTTAGATTACTGAACCAAACTTTAGGTGAATGAATTATATGGTATGTTAATAGTATCTTTTTTTTTTTTTTTAAGATCTTATTTATTTATTTGACAGAGAGATCACAAGTAGGCAGAGAGGCAGGCACAGAAGCGAGGGGGAAGGAAGCTCCCTACTGAGCAGAGAGCCTGATGCGGGGCTTGATCCCAGGACCCTGAGATCATGGCCTGAGCCGAAGGCAGAGGCTTAACCCACTGAGCCACCCAGGCGCCCCTGTTAATAGTATCTTAATAATGACACCAGCCCCTCTCCAGATTCTGATCTAAATACAAGTGACACCTTGTCAGCAATACTTTTTCAAAGTTCCCCCAAGTGATTCTATTAAGCATCCAAGAGCCTCTACCCAAAGCCTCTACCCAAAGCCAGGACAAAAACCACCCATACCTCTTGGGGATCCACCACACAGTAGTGATACAAATACTGATCCATGTACATCCCAGTAGTTGTAGACGCATAATACTGGTTGCAGAGAGCATATATCTGTGAACTGTATATAGAACCAGAAGCCTGGGCAGTTGGGTTGACTCCCATTATGTAGACAATGGTGGCGATAAACATCATGACACCCAGGATAGCACTCAGTATTATGACAGTCAAGTAGTATCTTCTTGTCCTAGATATGTCAGATCGTATAACGCTGGTAACAAATACCACCAATGCGGCAATGAAACAAAAGGCCGCCATGGCCAGGAGGAAGCCCTTTGCTGCTCTTGGATCGGTGTAGCCTCCATAGCCATAACCATAGCTATAACCATATGCATAGCCACCTCCGTAGCTACCAAAGCCACTGCTGTAAGGGTAGCCTAGACCACCACCCAGTAAGCCAGTTCCATAGCCTCGATCCCAGGCAAGTGTGGAGGCAACACAGGCAAATATGGCAATGCACATCACAATAATGAGCATAGACAGAATCCGAATGACTCCTGGAGGAGAGGTCCATTTGTAGAAGTGAAGAATTTCATCTTCTGGGTAGAAAGAGTACGCCGGCTGAGAGAGCATGGGTCGGACGTGCATGTCTCCACCATAGACATCATTGCTTGGTGCATAGTGATTGGGTTTGCTGAAATGCACATGAAAACACTTTCAAGTTAATACCATTTGGAGGGAGCAGAAAGAACACAGAATGTACATGGAATAATTTAAACCAGCCACTGGCAAAAAAAAAAAAAAAAAAAAAAAATTTAACCTGTTAGTACCACCCCACTACAGTGGGACACTTTATGTTCCCCAAATTCAAATGTCAACATCTTAAGCCCCAGTGTAATGGTATTAGAAGTGTGGCCTAACTAGACTCTGAGCTGGAGTGCTCATGAATGGGAACAGTGCCTTCACAAAGGAGATCCCAGGAATGGTCTTGCCCCTTCTACCATGTGAGGATACAAGAAGTCAGCAGTCTGGGGTGCCTGGGTGGGGGTCTAAAGAAGTCCACAGTCTGCAACCCAGAAGAGAACGTTCCCTAGAACCTGACCAAACTGGTACCTTAACTTGGACTTCCAGTCTCTAGAACTGTGAGTGAGTGAGTGAGTAAGAAGGAGGAAGGAAGGATGGAAGGAAGGAAGGAAGGAAGGAAAAGAAAAGGAAAGGAAGGAAAGGAAGAAAGACAGAAATAAATAAATAAATGGAGGGAGGGAGGGAGGGAGGAAGGAAGGAGAAAAGAAAGAGAAGAGAAGAAAGGAGGGAAGGAAGGAAGGAAAGAAAGAAATGAAGGGAGGGAGAGAGGGAGGGAGGAAGGAAGGAAAAGAAAAGGAAAGGAAAGGAAAGAAAAGAAAGAGAAGAAAAGAAAGAAACAAAGAGGAGAGAGAGAAAAGGAAGGAAGGAAAATAAATAAATAAATAAATAAATAAATAAATGGAGGGAGGGAGGGAGAAAATGGAAGGAAGGAAGGAAGGAAGGAATTCATGTTGTTTACATGCTACCCAGTGTGTGGTACTTTTTATAGCACCCTGAAGCTACTGAGACACCCACTGAACAGTGAAGGTTTCTGTGTATCAGAATCACCTGGAAGGCTTGTTCAAACATAGATCGATGGTCTCCAACCTCAAGTTGCTGATTCTGCAAATCTGGGGCAGGACAAGTTTCCAGATGCTGCTGCTGCTGCCAGTCTGGGAGCCATACATTAAGAACGACTGCTCTAAGTTCTATGGAGTAGAGGTTCTCGAATTTTCTACCTATGAGAATCACCTGGGGAATCTGTAGAATGCCCAGATGGAGCACTCCATCTCCAGTAAAACTGTAACCCCTGGGGAGGGGACCCAGGCAGTTCAGAACAATGATGTTAACCCTTTGGCTTGTGTGATGTGAGACCAGTGCATTCAGATACAACACCTACAGTGGCCCATGCAGTGTCACATCCAATTTCTGGCACCTCACTCTCTTACCTGAGAAAGCACATTCATTCATTTATTCACGTGACAGCTATTTACTGGAGCTGCTGGGCTGGTGTGGGGGGGGGCACCGTGCTAAGTACTGACGATACAACAATCAACACAAGTGTCTCAACCTAGCCCCCCCACCCAGGTTAGTCTCTTTGAAGGCAGTAAGACATTAAACAAATCACCACATGATCTCTAGTTAGTTATGGTAAGAGCTACAAGGTATATTGGATATTCACTGAGGGCTTATCAGGGTGATGCCTATTAACTTGCCAACTCTAGTGACATAATCATAAACTCGCTGGAGACAGACACGTTGGTGTGTGGCATGCAGAATCTAAGAAATGTGGGTCCGGGCAGAGCAGAATTCAATCCCCAAACTGACCTCACCCTCTTTGGTTTTTGCCATTATTTCCTTGGTCTGCTTCTCTCTTTCCAAAGCAAGACATCCTGCAACTGGGTGCTGTCAACCACAAGAATTCAAGGAAAAGGAGAAACTGGAAAGAACCCTGACATGCTGGTCTTTGAAAATATCACATGAAAATTCCATAACTCATTCTACTTGGTTATTTGGGATGTCTCTATCTGGAGTTGTCACGAACAGTGTAGCTCTGGGCATCCTGAACATGTGTCCTCACACACACAAATACTTCTTTTTCTAAGGTATATATCCAGAAGAATTTTTGAGTCAATTTTTTTTTTTTTTTTTTACCTTCCACTCTGAGACAACGTCGAGGTGTTTTCCAAAATGATTACAGCACTTTTAAAAATGATTCTATCATTTAAAATCCCACTGACACTGTAACATTCAGAGAAGCATTGTTTATGAGAACCTGAAACTGGAAACAGTCCAAGTATCTACCTAGAGAGGAACAGGTACCTGTAACATAGCCACAGACAGAATGCTACTGAGATAATGAGCTAATACAGCAGCCACGAGCCACATGATTTACTGAACACCTGACATATATCTTGTCCAAACTGAGATGTGCTAGTAAGTATAAAATACTTAGTAATCCTAGTATAAAAAAAGAAATGCAGGGGTTCCCGGGTGGCTCAGTCAGTTAAGCATCAGACTCTTGGTTTCAACTCAGATCATGATCTCAGGGTCATGAGATCAAGCCCCATGTTGGGCTCTGCACTGAGCAGGGAGCCTGCTTAAGATTCTCTATCCTCGGGGCGCCTGGATGGCTCAGCTGGTTAAGCCACTGCTTTTGGCTCGGGTCATGGTCCCAGAGTCCCGGGATCGAGTCCCACATGGGGCTTCCTCTGCTCTTCGGGGAGCCTGCTTCTCCCTCTCCCTCAGCCTTTCCCCCTGCTTGTGCTCTCTCTCTCTCTGTCAAATAAATAAAATCTTTTTTTTTTTTTAATTAAAAAAAAAAAAAGATTCTCTATCCTTCGTCCTCTGCCCCACCCCCCACCACTCATGTTCCCTCTCTCTTTCTCTCTCTCAAAGGAAGAAAGAAAAAAGAAATTTAACACCACCTAGAGAGAACCCTAATATTAACTATGTATTTTGGGTGACAATGATTTGTCAGTTAAGGTTCATCAATTTTAACACATGTACCACCCTGGTAGGGGATATTGATAATGAGATAGGCAACACATGTATAAGGGAGGGGGCATATAGGAAATCTTTGTACTTCCCTCTCAGAGTTTTGCTGTGAATACAAAACTGCTCTTAAAAAAAAAAAAAAAACGATTATTTTAAAAAAGGAATATAAAGTACTTCATGAGTCAGTGTTTACATACTGAAATGATACTTTAAATACATTAGGTTAAGTGAAAAATTAAATATTATATAAAATCAGTATAATTATTAAAATAAATTTGTTTTTAATTGGTTAGAAGAAAACAAAATTACACATATGGTTCACTTTTTTTTTTTTAAAGAGAGAGAGTATGGGGGGGCGGGCAGGGAGCAGGCAGAGAGGGAGAAGCAGACTCCCCACTGAGCAGGGAGCCCAATGCAAGGCTCAATCCCAGGACCCCAAGATCATGACCTTAACCAACTGAGCCACCCAGGCACCCCTCACATTTTATTTCTATGGTAGTCCTTTGAAGCAAAGAAAGTTTAATAACGAAGTAAAACTGAAATGTATTTAGGATAAAACAGTAAAAAAAAAAAAAAAAAAAAAAAAGAAAAGAAAAGAAAATGAAAAAGAAGGACCAAGTGATAACCATATGTAAGAACAACGGTTTCCAGGGAAAGGTGGGGACACATAGAAGGGCTTGGAGGTGTTCTATTCTTGGCCTATATGATGATTTTGCTTTGAATTTATTCATCGTTTCATACACATGTCCTGTGCTGTTTTCTATGTGTGCATTATATTTCACCAATGTTTACAAAAGCAACACAAAATAAGTCTCGGGTTCATGGAGCACTACTCAATTACTGTATTTTCTAGCATAATATAAGGACCACATCTTCACGAACAACTGTGTCCCTACAATGCTCAGGTATTAATCAAGAGGCAATGTAACAGGAGCACAATTCCCACCACAGCTATCGAAGAGCTGAGGCTACAAACTACTTAAAGGAAAAAAATCTCTGCAACAAATTTTAAAATTTTCACTATTAAATTTCCAAATGACTAGGGGTGCCAAGAACCCTCAACTTCGCTTCTTGTTTTATATAATGGCAGGAATCACTCTTAAAACTGACAATGTGGGGGCGCCTGGGTGGCTGAGTGGGTTAAAGCCTCTACCTTTGGCTCAGCTCATGATCCCAGGGTCCTGGGATCGAGCCCTATATCAGGCTCTCTGCTCAGTGGGGAGCCTGCTTCCCCTTCTCTCCCTCTGCCTGCCTCTCTGCCTACTTGTGATCTCTGTCTGTCAAATAAATAAATAAAATCTTTAAAAACAAACAAACAAACAAACAAACAAAAACTGACAATGTGGAGGGCGTCTGGGTAGCACAGTTAGGCAACTGCCTTCAGCTCAGGTCATGATCCCAGAGTCCGGGATCAAGTCCCACATTGGGCTCCCAGCTCCACCGGGAGTCTGCTTCTCTCTCTGACCTTCTCCCCTTTTGTGCTCTTTCAAATAAATAAATAAAATCTTTAAAAAAAAATAAGTAAAAAAAAAAAAAAAAAAAACTGACAACGTGGAAAACATTATGTCAAGTCAAAGAATCAGCCACAGAGGACCACATACTGCATGATTACATGCACAGGAAAGGTGCAAAATGGGCAAATCCAGAAACACAGAGTAGGTTCCTGACGGCCTAGAACCGGGTCTGTGGAGGGTGGGGGATGGGGTGAGAAGTGAGTGGTAATTGGCAGTGGTTTCTTTGGGAAGGGAGTGATGAAAATGTTCTTAAAATTGACGTAGTGATGGCCGCACAGCTCTGTGACTATACTAAAACCCCTGAAGGGTCCATTCTAAATGGGTGAATTGCACGGTGTGTGACCGCTATCTCAAAAAAGTATGACTTAAAGAATCGACAGTGAGTCAGTACGGAGCATTAATACAGAACAACAAAGCATTAATACAGAAGCTTCATACCATTTGTGAAAAAACAAAAAGGAATAAAGAGACACACAAGTATCAGCCTAGACTATACAGAAGCAAACAACAGCAACAGGTGACAGCAGTTGCCTCTGCAGAGAAACACCGGCATCCTGGAAGTTAAGCTTCAGGGAGAAACTCACCGCTTTACACCCTTTGTTTCCATCTAAATTTACAAACACACGTTATTTTGTTATTCTTAACAGCAAACACTTAACAGATCAAAGTTTCACCTATATTTTTTACACATTTTTTTTACACATATTTCACACATATTTTTTACACATGACAGGCTTAACAAAAAGAAAAAAAAAGGGAAGCATTACTCACAATTCATCAGGTCTATACGGAGGTGGACTTTCAAAAGGCCGCGACGACATGGCTGACGTCACTGATCACCTGCTCTTCAGGATGCGCACTGCCCCGCAGTTCCCCAGAATAAGCAGATCTGAGCAACGTAAGGAGGGTAATGGCATTACTGCTGAGCTCAGAGTTTCCTTGATTGCTAAGAAAACCAATGATACCAATCTCAAGTAACTCCACACACCATGATTATTCCTCTTGTCCTTCTCACGGCCATCCTTACATACCATTAATTCCTTGAGTACAGGGAATCACTGAGCATAGAACTACTCAGCCTGGTGGTCCTCACAGTACCAAGCACCATGCTCTGCACATCACTGGCATATAAATTCTAACTTTAGGGGTGCCTGGGTGGCTCAGTGGGTTAAAGCCTCTGCCTTCGGCTGGGATCATGATACCAGAGTGCTGAGATCGAGCCCCAAATGGGGCTCTCTGCTCGGCAGGGAGCCTGCTTCCTCCTCTCTGTCTGCCTCTCTGCCCACTTGGGATCTCTGTCTGCCAAATAAATAAATTGATAAATAAATAAATAAATAAATAAAATCTTTTAAAAAATAATAAATCCTAACTTTTTAAAAAAATATTTTATTTATTTGACAGAGATCACAAGGAGGCAGAGAGGCAGGCAGAGAGAAAGGGGGAAGTAGGCTCCCCGCAGAGCAGAGAGCCTGATGTGGGGCTCTATCCCAGGACCCTGGGACCATGACCCGAGCCAAAGGCAGAGGCTTTAACCCACTGAGCCACCCACAAGCCCCATAAATCCTAACTTTAATTACTAAGTTGTAGTCATAAAAACTTTACAAAGTTTTTACAGCATAGGTTAAAAAAAAGGTATTTTTCCAAACCGTTCCTTCAAAGAACAAGAAATGTAAAAAATAAGAAAATTTCTTAAGATGTATTTATTGTTGTTGTTTTTTTAAGTTTGAGTAACACCATTTTTTTTTAAATTTTTATGTTTTGAGAGAGAGCAAGCAACTACAGGCATAAGAGTGGAAGGTGCAGAGGGAGCGGAAAAGGGAGAATCTCAAGGAAACTCCGTACTGAATGCAGAACCTGACATGGGGCTCAATCTCACCACCCTGAAAGCATGACCCTGAGATTATGACCTGAGCAGAAATCAAGAGTCTGATTCTTAACAAACTGACTGAGCCACCCAGGCACCCCAACCAACAAGTACTTATTAAGTGCCTACACTATACCATGGGAGTCTGTAGAAGTACTAGAGAAGGTCATACACAAAGAAAAAAAGCAACTACAACAGACAGTTATTTAGTTATCAGGGCTGACTACGTGATCAAGTGCAGGATAGGGATAAGCAGAGCAGAAAGACCAAGACTTAAATAAGAGGGGGAAAAAGGTGGGGGTAGGGGAGTGGGTAAGGAAGATCACTTGAGCAAGAGCTATAATCCAAGTATATTAAACTATGTATTTTTTCCTTTTAAAATAAAGTATGCAGAAAAAAGGTATTATGTTAGGTAAAGTAAATAAATTCAAACTCTCTAAATTCTGTTTCTTAGAATCAATGGCAACTATCCTCCACATCCTTATGGACAGTCAATTCCAAATTTTCAGAATAAGATGTCACCCAAATGTATATAAAACCTCAAAGATGGAAATATGTTGACTTGTTAGGAACACCAAGACAATTAGTGTGATTTTTCAAACACAGTGAGGGAAGACAACTTCTTTAGTTTATTAAAAACAAAACAAAAAACTGTTTTACTGAAGTATTAACATACCCCAAAAAATGCACAAATCTTTAAGTGTACAGAGCCCTGGAACTAGCACCTAAATGCACATATAAATGGGCAACTTAAGCCATTAGCACGTTATAGTGTTGTGGAAGAGTAACAGAAGTCCAGACTGGCTTCCTAACTGATGTTCAAAAAAAGAACATTAAAAAAAAAAACTGAATTTAAACACTATTAGGGGCAACCTGAGTGGCTCAGACTGTTAAGCAACCCACTCTTTATTTCCATGGCTCAGGCTGGGACAGCAGGGTCCTGAGATGGAGCCCCTAGGGAGCCTCCGCTCTCAGCACACGGTCTGCTTGAGATTCTCCCTCTGCACCCACTCCCCCGCCTTGAGCGCAAGGGCATGCACTCACTCTCTGATTAATAAATCAATTTGGGGGTGCCTGGGTGGCTCAGCCGTTAGGTGTCTGCCTTCTGCTCGGGTCATGGTCCTGGGATCAAGCCCCATATCTGGCTCCCTGCTCAGTGTCAGGGAGCCTGCTTCTCCCTCTCCCATTCCCATTGCTTATGTTCCCTCTCTTCCTGTGTCTCCCTCTGTCAAATAAATAAATAAAATCTTATTTTTTTTTTAAGATTTTATTTATTTGACAGAGAGAAAGGGCACAAGTAGACAAAGCGATAGACGGAGGGAGAAAGAGGCTTCCCGCCAGCAGGAAGCCTGATGCAGAACTCGATCCCAAGACCTCGGAATCATGACCTGAGCCGAAGGCAGACGCTTAACCCACTGCCTTCTGCTCAGCTCATGATCCCAGGGTCCTGGGATTGAGCCCCACATTGGGCTCTCTGCTCAGCAGGGAGCCTGCTTCCATCTCTCTCTCTCTGCTTGCCTCTCTGCCTACTTGCGATCTCTGCCTGTCAAATAAATAAATAAATAAATAATCTTAAAAAGAAAAAAGATCATCTGAATTTAAACACTATTAAATGTAGGACTCCAATTCTGAAGTGAATGTCAAATACTGACAAACGTTATCTTAGCCCTTTTATAGCTATGGCTCACACATTCAAGACTATGCCAAAAAATTCCAGGCTCCATGGTATTTTTTTTTTTAAGATTTTATCTATTTATTTGAGAGAGAAAGAACAAGAGAGAGCATGAGAAGGGGGAGGGTGAGAGGGAGAGGCAGCCTCCCCGCTGAGCAGGGAGCCTGATATGGGACTCGATCCCGGGATTCCAGGATCATGACCTGAGCTGAAGACAGTGGCTTAACCAACTGAGCCACCCAGGAGCCCTTAATGGTAGTTTTTTAGGTCATCTCTACACCCAACATGGGGCTTGGACTCAACTCCCAAGATCAAGAGTCGCATGCTCTACTGATTGAGCCAGCCAGGGGCCCCTCCATGGTAGTTTTCAAGAATTCTAAATTAATCCAGACTCAGGCTAAAGTTTAAATTTTGTCAAAATCCAGATACCAAAACCTCTTTCCACAGTGCTATTTCAGGGATTCAGAGTTTAGTTATCATGTCTCCTCTATTACCAAAGATTTTATATTGTGTAGCAAGTAATTTTAGAAAGTTTATCAAGAACAAGCCATGCTATATCGACTTCATTTCATTTTTTGAGGTTACCAAACTGGCAGATGAAGCCCAAGAATCTTGAGCACATCCCCATGCACAGACACTCCTCTGGAACTGAAAAATGGAATGTAAATAGGATAAAAGAACGGACCATTCATGATCCCAGCCTCCTGGGACTGACTCCTACTCGTGGGGCTCTTTGCTCAGCAGGGAGCCTGCTTCTCCCTCTGTCTGCCATTCCCCCTGCTTGCGCTCCTGTTTCCTAGCTCTGTCACTCTGACAAATGAAATCCTAAAAACAAAAACACAACAAAAAAACCTGGACCATTTATGTCCACCTAAAGGGAAGTCGCTTTGGTGATCACAGATGAGGTGGGCAAGCTTATCCAGATTTGCAGCTGACAAAACACTGGAAAGGATAACCAAGCCACTGGCTTCAAGTATATCAAATTCTCCACAAGGCCAGACTGACGGGTTAAAACAAACCTAGCGGTTTTAAAGGCTCACTGTGAGAGGACAAATTCTACTTCTCTTCCTTGAACATCACTACCCTACTATGCCAAAGGGCAGGAGATAAGCCTGACCTCTAGGCTGGAATAATTAAGATAATATATTAAAGAAGATGAGCAAAAGCATTCACAGCAAGGTGGTTATCTTGAAAGTGAGACATTCCAGTGTTCAGGCACTTGGGTACATTGTATTCATTTTCAAATACTGGTGGCACAAATAAATCATGTTATGAAAGGAGGCTCAATTTTTTAAAAGGCATTTCCTTGGTGAGAATTTCAACAAAGTTAACAAGTCATCCCAAACTCTGGCAGTATTCACAGACAGTGCTTCCATCTAGGAATGCTACACTTTATTTTTTTTTTTTAAGATTTTTATTTATTTGACAGAAAGACAGATCACAAGTAGGCAAGAGAAGCAGGCAGAGAGAGAGAGAGAGGGAAGCAGGCTCCCTGCTGAGCAGAGAGCCCGATGCGGGACTTGATCCCAGCACCCCGGGACCATGACCTGAGCCCAAGGCAGAGGCTTTAACCCACTGAGCCACCCAGGCGCCCCAAGGAATGCAACACTTTTTTTTTTTTTTTTAAGATTTTATTTATTTGACAGAGATTACAACTAGGCAGAGAGGCAGGCAGAGAGAGAGGAGGAAGCAGGCTCCCCACTGAGCAGAGCGCCCGAAGCGGGGCTCAATCGCAGGACTCTGGGCTCATGACCTGAGCAGAAGGCAGAGGTTTAACCCACTGAGCCACCCAGGCGCCCGAGAATGCTACTTTAAAAATAAACCCGCATAACCATGAAATTTGTGCATCATGTGTCCCAACTAGGTGCCTCCCTGGAGGTGACTGACTGTTTAAGAACTAGAAAAACCCGGCTCCTGGGTGGCTTAGTTGGTTATTAAGTGACTGCCTTTGGTTCAGGTCATGATCCTGGAGTCCCCAGATCGAGTCCCGCACTGGACTCCCGACTGAGCACGAAGTCTGCTTCTCCCTTTGACACTCCCCCCTCTCATGGTCTCCACCGCAAATAAATAAATAAAATCTTAAAAAGAAAAAAAAAAAAGAACTAGAAAAACCGCGTCTTAAGACAACTGATTGAAAAAACAGGAAATGTCTGGCCTGGTCAAATCAACATCAGAAGGACCACTACAGCAGCCTTCACGTATCTGCAGAGCTGTCTTTGTAGTCCTAGAAACCATTCTTTGAAGAAAAGATACCACAGGATCAGATTTCAGGTCAATGTTAGGAAGCCTCTCCCTCACCCTGACTTCACACACCCTTCAAAAATAACAAATAACAATTTT